CAAGACTTCCTTGGGCCTGAGATAAGGTAAGTGGTTTTGGGCCAAATATCCCAACAGGTTCGATACCGAGGAATTCAATTTTTTTCCCACCCCTACTAAAATTCAAAAGGACTTTGAAGGAAAACAAGGAAAAGAATATCTAATGAATGTGTTGACCTTTGAAGAAATGATGACAAAAGACAATAAATAGAGATATCTCTTGACCTTGAAAAAGAAAATGAGAAAGCACAATAAATAGAGATATACGTATGAGATGAAAAGAAATAATGCCCACTAAATAGAACAAATAAGGTTGCAGATGAGATATAAGATTAAGATTATATTTGATGTTGGGCTGAAAAAATCACCCAAAAATCAAAGGTCAAAAAGATTTCAAGAAGAAGAAGAAAAAAGAAATATAAAATAGGACAGACTAAGGTTCTCTTGCAATCACCGTCTTTTATCGTATTGTGTTAGGTATGCGATCGATATTCTTTATGACATAATTGCACATATATGTTTTCAATGTCAAAACGTACGTACTGTGTATTTGAAAATTTTGAAAAATGCTTACCAAACTTACGTACTATGGCGGAATATTCATATTCTAATTAGTTAACAGGTATTTTTTTCAATCACAAAAATCAATTTCTTTTATTTATTTATTTTTTTTATTGTGTGCCTCAAATTATCCAGTATAATTTGCAATTTTCCTTTTTTTTTTAATGTTTTTGAATCATTCATTCATCACTTTGTTATTACACTGATTGTATTGTATTACTATTTAACAGGACAATTTAAATGCTAACCTAATATGCAAAATTATGTGAATCGAATCAATACATGCAAGCATCAAATTTCAATCCATCCAATAAAACAAGGTCCTCTAATTTGACCACTGTCCAAATTATAGGACCAAAATTGACGTACCACGTAGATCATAATCACGCCATGTAACCTTAAAAACCTGACATGTCATGCTACGTTACTTTTTAATCCATGGTCCGGATAAAAAGGATCAAAATTGATAAAATCGACAAATTATAGAACCTAAATTGAAAGTGGTCAATATAGAGGTGATTTTTTGGACAGTGGCCAAGTTATAAGACCAATTTTAAAATTTAGCCAATAAAACAAAATATTAATAAATAATTAAAAACTGATTAAAAATTCAGAAAAAAAAAAAGATGGATTGCCGTAAAGCATCTTCAACCCGTGACCCGCCAAATTCGAGCATTTCAAAGCTCGCGCCAAATCCAGCCCGTGAGCTGTCCAATAACCTGACAAAGCTCTGCCTTGTCCCCGATTGCCCACCCTCAATCACCACCCCATACATCGCAATTGCTCTGTGTAATGTTCGCTTCTTGAAGAGCAATCATTACGCCATTAAAATTGGAGTTAAAACTCCACGAACTATGTAACGCCGCCCTAGTCTGCGGTGTCGCTTGGCCGCCTTTCTTTGAATTTTTGGCTGCCCGCCGGCCGTTCGTCGCCGTCCATGGACCGCAGCTTGAAGCGTTTTCAGTTTCCTTTCCTCCTCCGCCCGCTTTAAATGTACGTCCCCTTTCTCTGTTCACTTTTCTGCAACTTTTTTTCTTTGATTTCTGGCCGCTGGGCGTTTGCCGCCGCGCGCGACCGCAGCCGATGCGGAGGTTGAAACCCTAAATTAATGTGGGAAAAAGGTCCGACCCATGTGAAATTTCTTAAGTTTCTCTGTATTGCATACATGAATTTCGTGGCACCGTGTGACCTTGACGATGAAATGCAAATTGGGTTTTGAAATTTTCCGTGACTTTTTTTGGTGGGGTACTCGCATTCTCATGTTAGGCTAATTTTGTGGACCTAACTTTAATCCATGGCAAATCTTCAACAATGCTGCCTTTTTTTTTGTGTCTAATATTACGATTAAGGATGGCATTTTTGCGGAGCAGGTAAAAAAAAAAAATGGCATTCTTTTTGTCTGTTTATCAGTTTCTGGACAATAAAAGAAAATTTGTGAAGGCTTGTTCATCAATTAACACAATGATGTCGTAGGTAATACATAGATTGGTATGATTAAGGTCTGTTTTAGCCAGCCTGTCCTTAAGTCGAGGGATTTAAACTTCGGTTCTTCATGTGGGTTGAGTAACTTTGACTCTTTTAGTAAAAGGGTTGTATAAGGGGAAGTAATTGGCTGAAGCATAACTGTGAGAGTGCTGAGTTTGAGGATTGAAGGTGGGATGTAACGAGCTGTTTAATGATGTATTTTATAAATCAAGCACACTGCATTAACTAGGTAACTTTTTCTAGTTATACTATGTTGGAACTTCTATTGGACCAATTTGTTAACTTGGATGAGTATACTATAACTTCGCTGAAATTTAGTATATGAGTTAAGGATTACTATATTTACAATCTGAAATAACCGACTGAAATTGTCTAGCGTTAATTGACAATATATTGCTTTTGGATGAAAAGAACGATTCTCGTCTTTTCCTAATTTTTTTTTGGCATTCACAGTCACTCCTTAGGATTGGTTCTTGATGCATATACTATCTGATTGTGTGATGTTTAGATGCAGCAATCTACTGTTTCATTAGTTAGGGGATCAGCTAAATGTCTAGATTGTTTTTGGTAAGAGTTTCGTGTGCCATACTGTTTTCCTGTATTTCCTCAGAAGGCTAAGATTATAACTTGCACATTGTTTTTATAGGATACCATGTTTGGAGCTCTGTCATTCTTGTTCGCTTTGGTTGCTTTAATCCTTTCTTTCTCAAATGGCTATGAAATTGATGAAGATATTTTCAATGTCATTGATTATGGAGCCACAGGTGATGGTTATACAGATAATTCAAAGGTAATTGAAAGATCTCATTCAGTAACTTTTGTATATACTTGTATTTCTTTATTTAATCCTAGATGTTTTGAATGTCAATTCATTTGTCGATGAAATATTTATTTCGCATATCTCTAGGCATTTCTAGAAGCATGGGATGCTGCATGCAGCTCCTTAATTGATTCCCCACGAGTGTACGTTCCACCAGACGGGACATTTTTATTAAACCCCGTCACTTTTCAGGGCCCATGCAATGCACTCAGAATCAGTTTCGTGGTACATAATAATGTCAATTGTTAAAACAAAAATGTGTACTTATTTGGATTCTTTTGCTGATTTTGATATTGTTATTACAATTTAGATTTCGGGGGTGCTTGTTGCCCCAGATTCACCTAGCTTGTGGGATGGGATGGATGCAAGTCAATGGTTAGGATTTACAGATATCAATGGACTCAGTCTTGATGGGTTCGGGTACATTGACGGGCAGGGCCAATCCTGGTGGGACCAGTCATGTAAATACCATCCTGAGTTGGTACATATTTCTATAGCTGGTTCTCCACATATTTTAACATATATGCATTATAATGAAAGTTAGCCTTTGTATATACAACTAATGAGGTATAAAGATAAATAATGGGTGTGTGAAATTGCGGACTTCCTAACGATTTCTCCCTTTTTTATTTCTAGAGACATTGCACCAAAGTGGCTCCGACTGTAAGTACTAATATATTCGTACACTCTGCCTTTTGCTTTGGTTCGAGCATTTTGTTCTAGGACAACAGAAAATATGAGATTAATATTAAGTACTGTATGGTGTGTAATCTTGATAATCAGGCGTTGAAGTTTCTGGGATGCAAAGATAGCAGTGTTAGCAATTTAAACTTCATAAATAGTGCTCAGACGCACATACTTGTAAGGGGCTGCAACACTTTCGGCATTCAAAATGTGATAATACAGTCGCCGGGGAATAGCCCAAACACTGATGGCATACATATTCAATCATCTCAACAAGTCATTATCTCCAATTCTAGAATAAGCTGTGGTAAGTACTTTCTTCAGTTAGTTCTGTTGTCAAAGTTTTTTTTTTTTATTTTTTTTTATTTTTTATTTTTTATTCAATCTGTAGAATCTCCAGTGTATTGGCCGGTAATCGAACATCTAACCTGTCAGTTTATCCATCTGCTTAGGAGATGATTGTATTTCAATTGGTGACCACATTTCTGATATTGAAATCAGCAGAGTTGAATGCGGACCTGGCCACGGTATAAGGTAGTTAACTTATTCCCTACTTCTGCTTCTATTGTTTTTTTTTTCATTTGGCGGGCATAATGCATTCCTAGGTGATTGATTTGTTCGTGCAACACAAAAGCAAAAAAAAAAAGAG